TCATTTTGTAAATCTTGTAAGGTGATTTCTTTATGTTTTTCTTTTTTAAATCGGTCTAAAGTTTTAGTTAAACTAATGATTGGTTTATTATGCTTAGGTTTCTTATCTTTATTAATTAATAAAGATTTTAACTTATTAGTATATTGTCGTTTTAATTTAGGATTCTCTAATTTACTAATTAATTCAATGAGAGCAGTTTCTTCTTGTTGAGATTTACTAAGAACATTGACGGTTTTACAACAAGTATCATTACATCCTAATTCAATTTCATTGTCAGTATTATCAGTAGGAGAATAATAGGTAGAAGTATCACTAGAGGAAATATTATTTTCAGATGCATTACTAGATTGCTCCGGGGATTGATTTGGAGTTAATTTAATTATGTCAAGTATTTGTTGTTGACATTCTGCAGTGATCTGTAATTGGTTAAGTTTAGCTTTAAGTTTTTCTTTGACTTTACATTTATTAGAATAATGACATTTTTTACCACAATTATAACAAGTAACATCCGGAGTAGATTTTGACTCTTTCTTAGATTTCTTATGATATTTCTTTTTCGGTTTAGTATAATATTTATCAGTCGATTTGGAAGGGGAATATTTCTTTTTACCTTTATTGGAATATTTGTAAGAAGATTTTTTATTTTTACTAGTTTTTCGTCGTGAAGGAGCTACTCGAGGTAAACCATATTGTTCACAAAAATTACCTAATTCATATTTAGCTTTATGTTTTTTTTTAGCAGCTTTTTGACTAAGTTTTAAATCAATGCACATTTTTAATCATTCTTTTTGAATTGTGCTAATGATATCGCTATAGGTTAAATTATCATATTCTATAATACTAGTAGATTGACTAAGAACATCTCTAATTTTATAGGCAAAAAGACTTGGTAATCCATTAATAAATTTTTCTTTCCAAAATAACTTAGTACAATCATCTCTAAGCATTACTCTAGAGGTGAAAACATCTTTATACCATCTAAAATCACTTAAAGTAGGGCAAGTTAAATTACTGAGTTGATCATGGATTCGGGAATGGATATTAGTCGGTGTTCCGATAAAATGTTTGACTATGGTATATATTAAAGTATTAATACCATCAGGGATACTAGACCCTATTTCTTCATCAAAGATAGGAAAATAATTATCATCCATTTGAACAGTATGCTGAATAGATTCGCGTTGATCAGAAGTGAGATATTTATCCCACTAAGATTTGAGCATACCAGTGAATCTAGTAGTAATTAAAAGAACAATCTCAGGTTGAGTATAATCAGGATAATTAGTAAGATAACTATTTGCAACCATGGATAAATGATTGAGTTTTTGGAGGAATTGATGTTCAGTAAGACCATTGATATTCCATTCATATAATTTTTTAGTAGAAACAGAAAATTGATTACCAATATTGTTTTCTTCAAATTGAAGATTGGGAGGTGTAGGTTTAGTGTACCAATTTTTGGTAAGAGTGGTAGGATTAACTTTAGGGTGTGTGATTCTATTAAGGTGAGAAGGTTGAAATTGTTGTGCCATGTGATTGATTTCGTTATCACTAGATGTATCTGAATGAGTGGGAAATTCTAATGGTGGTTGTTGTGATAAAACGGTAATTCCTTTGCCGGGATTAGAGGTAGACATTTTATTAAATAATTTTTCAATGGCTTCGACAGTAGTATTATCTTGAGTAGCTAGGCTTAATCGTTTTCGAGTACTAGGAAGATTTATAAGAGGTTTATCCAAAGGTTTACTTGTAGAAGTATGGCTAGTAGAGTAATCTTCAAAAGTAGTTTCAAGTTTGTCGAGTTGTTTACCAATGGTTTTTAAACATTGATTGGTATAATTATTTTGTTCAATGACTTTTTTAATTTCAAATTCTTCACCAGGGAGTTTAAAAGAAGAAGCATGAACAATGGTGCTTTTATGTTTAATCAGGATGGTTTCTAAAGGAGGGTGACTAGATGAGACAGAAGTAGTAGGTGAAGTTTTCCATTTAGTTTTTGTAATAACATTTACTTTTTGATAATAATTTTCTAAATAATCAAAGAACTTGATGTCAGTGTTGATGTCAATCATAAATTGATACCATTTTTTGGTAATTTTAGATTGTTGCTTTGTATCATAAGTATTCTTATAGGTTTGTCTTTTTGACTTATTTGTTTTAGATTTAAAGTCATCATGAAGTTTGTTAAGATCTGGAGTAAAAGGTTACTTAAAGTTAACAATTGTGAGTTGACAAGAGGAACAACTTCAAAATCAGTTTGAATAGGTAAGTCCTGTGATGTAGTATCTTCATCGTGAAGATGTGTGTGGATTGAGTAAATGGGTTTACTAATTTGGGAAGTAGAGGAATTATCTATTCCTTTTAATTTACTATGGGTGTTGGAAGATTGACCAAGATTAATATGACAATCTTTTCTAAATAGAGGTGTACTAAAAATTATATCTTCATTGGGTTCAGTAGGGATACTAGAAGTACTATGTCTAGAAGATTGGTTATTTAATCGATTAAATTTAATATGAACAAAACCATTAGTGAATTGTTGAATTCCTTGAAGTTCATCTTGACTTGTATGTGGATTAAGATTATAATTTTCATTACTAGTAATCCATTCTTCAGGTAACGTTATATCTTTCCAGTTAATCATATTTGGAACGGATATATTAGCATCACGAGTGCTTCCTTGAATAAGTAATGTTTTATTTTTAGGACTTTTATTTAAGGCTTGAACATTTAAATTAGTTTTGACCACTTTGCAATATATGCGATAAATTAAAGCAATCTTATGCACTCTGTCAATCATATTAGCAACTGAACCAGAAATTTGAATATTAAGTGTTAAGGCTTTCAAGATATGAGGGTCATGTAAGCTAAGAATAAAATTTGGAAAACAATTAAAATGAATAGGTCCTTGATGAAGGTCTGATTCCATCATTCCTATAATACTATCATGATAATTAATAAAGCGAGCATCACGTAAGTAAATTAAAACAGATGAGTTTTTACCTTGTTGAGTTAAAGGATTAATGCCAACTTGAATGAGTTCGAGATGAATAAAATTATGACTAGTAAATATATGTCATCTAATATTATTAGCAGAAAGGAGGGGACAGGTTTCTCTAAGTTTAGTTAAAGCATAAACTTGTTCAAGAGTTTTGACATAGAGATTAACTTTAAAAGATGACTGTAAGAAAGTTGTTTTATAAATTTCTTTAATAGGCATTTTTGGGATGTTCCAACTTGAATCAATTTTTTCATCATTCTGTAATTCAATTTCTTCTTCATTAATGACTAAATTAGCATCTGGGATGGGGGCTAAAATTGTAGATGAAGATCTAGAACTAACGGAAGAGTTACTTCTGAACAAGCGATTCATTGTCTTTATACTGAACAAGATTCCAAATTATCTAAATTCTTGGACAACTTATCATGTTTTCACATACTATGTGTTCACTCATACCCTTTCCAGAGGACCTTGAAATCCATTTTCTGCCTAAACGTAAGGACTTACACAGGATGTGGGACGAAAGGTGGGTGACTACTAACAAAGTGGATAACAGATAGATAAGGAGAACAAGATTAGAAGACTTCAAACAATTTGGACAGGAAAGAAATGAAAAGCACTAATATAAAAAAATATAAATATATATAAATATTCAAATTAGTTATATGTAATTAAATTACACATTAAATTAATTAAATATTACATTAAATTCTCATGTATCCACGCAATTAACAAAGTCAAAAATAAAATAAAATAATAATAATAATAAATAAAAAAATAAATAATAACTTACGAAAAATTAGAGTCGCTACATTAATCGTTCATTTTGCAAGTTATTCATGTATATCCTTTATGGAGAAGAGCAATCAATTTGATAATCGAAACATTTTAATTTTATAGTGTTTAATGTCATAAAATAAAAATATTTCAATTATCAAATTCATTTGATTTTTTAACCAATGATTACACTTAAAGTCCTACAAAACGAAAGATGTGAATAATTGAAACGAGACTCGTAGTGATTCTCGTGGGCCCCTCAAATTCTCTAAACTTAATATTCAAATCGTTTATTTTGAATTATTGATTACATAAAAATTTTAAGAAAAATGTTAGGAATCCACTTTTACAGATCCTGAATTTATCCCGAATGTATTTGTGTAGTAGAGATTGAATTGATGAAATGTGAGGTTTACATATGAAATGAATTTGAGCCATTAATTTTTTTTTTCCAGAATAAATTTTACATTAATAAGGGTATATTTGTAATGTTGATAGAAATTTTAAGGGTAAATTACAAATACACTCCATGAGAGTTACTTAACATACAAATTGCCCTTGTGGTTTGGAAAATTACAAATACCACCCTGTCAGAATTTTTTATTTAACAGAATTAATTGAAAAAGTGAAATTTCTAACTGTTCACCTATACAATAATAAAATTATTTGAATTATTAATTGAAATAAAAATTTAACATTATTAAAAACTGTTAATTAACTTAATGATTTATTAATAAAAGGACCTATTTGTTATGAAATTAAAAACCTTAGGGGGCATAATGTAATTTCTAGAACTACAAGAGGTAATTTGTAATTTAAGTAAATCTCAAGGGGTGTGTTTGTAATTCACTCAAATTCTAAAGGAGAGTTTTTTTTTAAGATTCTTGATATTAAAATTTTATAAAATAATATACAATATTTTCATAGTAGTTGGAGTTCCTCAACATTTTTATAAAGAAAATTATGTCCGACTCAAAGAAATTTGTGTTCAACTCAGAGAAATTTCGATATCGACACAGAGAAATTTCGATCTTGACATAGAGAACCTAATAAAAAAATATTTTCTATTTCTTCTACTACACAAAATTAAAAAGCGATGTTTTACTAATTTCTAACCTTAAACTATTTCTAAACTAAAAATATTTAAAATTGTTAAATTTTATAAAAAGTTATGTTGAAGAATCTAAAAACATTATTCAACCCTCCGTGACTGTGAGGGTTTTTTGAGACTGGCAATTCTGAGCCAGTCTTCCTTATTAATTACACTCAAAAGAGCACTAGCTCCCTTCGGTTCACACAACTGTGCTAAGACGCTCGGGAGACTTTGCCTCGCCGCCTTCCTCTCTCTCTCTCTGGTTCACTTTCCTTCGCCGCCGCCACCATGGTGGCACACAGAACCGCCCTCTTGCTGGGTTTTCTGGTCTTTCTTGAAATGCATTTTATTCTCACGGTGTCAGCTACTGGTAAGGACTTCATTTTCATAGTTCATCTCTGTTTTATGTGCGTTTTGGGACTGTTTTTGGGTAAGATTGGTAATTGTGCATATGGGTTTGGTGTGAAATTAAGCTTTTTTTGACTGACTTTTGGGTAAGATTGGTAATTGTGCGTTGTGGGTTTGGTGGTGAACTTGAGCTATTTGAATTGTTCTTTTTCTTAAGTATCTTTCTTGTTTTTGTTTACAATTTAATGGGCATTTGGATATGGGTTTGCTGTTCTTTCTTGAACTGCATTTCCCTCACAATGTCAGCCACAGGTATGGCATTTTCTCTCATTTTCACAGTTTACCGCTATTTAATGTGCCTTTTTGGTCTGATTTTTGGTTGAGATTGGTAACAGTGCTTATGGGTTTGGTTATGACGTGGAGCTTTTTGGACTGGTTTTTGGGCAAGATTGGTAATTATGCATCGTGGGTTGGGTTGTGAACTTGAGCTGTTTGAATTGTTCTTTTTCTTAAGTATCTTTCTTTCTTGTTTCTGTTTTCAATTTAATGGGCATTTACATGATGCATGATTATTTATGACATTTGGAGATCTCGGACTTGCGTTTGGTGGAGTTGGTGAATCTTGTCACGCGATATTACTTGAAAGAGTATTAGTTTTGAAGTGAAGTATCTCCACGGTTATGTATGAATTTGTTTATGCATCTATAGTTTTTTTTGGCAAGTTATGCATCTACAGCTTGGTTTTATCTCAGTGAAAATTTCAGAACACTTGTTTCATTTATTTAATTTAGGTTTGTATTACGAAATCACACTGGAAATCACGCTTTGACTGATTTATGTGATTTTGTAGTGTGTATGTATCTGTTTGGTGGATGCAAATGAACATGATTTCATGCATTATGTTTGCTTACTGGTTGAATACTGCAATTCTGGGCACGAAAGGCAGGAATTTGAGGGGTTTAGAGGCCATAATTTTAGGATTTATGTTTTGAAACAGACAAAACCCTTTTATTTTTTTTTACCTATTTTGAACAATTATACATTTCTCATTAATTTTAACTCCAATTCAGTTTTATTGTAATTAGAGCTGTCTGTAACATTCTCGATCTTCCCTCTGACATTTGGCAAATTTATTCCATCTTTATTGCTAATTCATCACAACAAAACAAGGCACTATGCCAGCTGTTTGGAGATATTCAACTCTTGATGGTATTTCTAATTCAACAATTTGTTTTGTACTTCCTCTTAACATATATCAAACTGATGCTGCATACTAATTGGCGGTAGCTGAACTCATGGTTGAATTGAAACTGTCACAAGGCCTGGTATTTCAAACATGTCCAAAAAAATTGATTTAAAGCTGTGAAGAAACAGCTCTTAACTTACAATTTGTCAGTAAAGTAAGCCTAATCACCTAAAGATGACCACAGTAAATTGATATAATTCTTTAGTTTTGAGACTGACAACAACATTGTGTTCGGAAAATCGCTATGCAGCCATCATACGGACTCTGCACATAAATGAAATGTGGTGTGGATTTCATTGCCTGACCTTCATAAAAACATAGCCCCCCCAAAAGAAGCTCTACTAGGATTTTCATTGTTCTATGGCATTTCCTTTACTTTTTCTTTCTTTCCATTTTTTTTTTTCAGCTTCTACTGGAACTACTGTCTGTGTTTTACATTACTGTCATTGGAAAGTTCAAGAAATTTTCATTCTCTTTCATTTATGCAGATTGTCCATTAGATTTGAGTGGGTCAAACTTTACACTCGCTGCCTCCATCTGCTCCAATAAAGAAGAAAGAGGGAAATGTTGCCGGTACATTAATGCCCTTATTGCAGTTTCTATTGCTCGCTATGCAAATCTCACGAGCAGCCTGGGGGTTACTCCAGATTTATCTCAGATTTGCATCAGTTCCATTTCAGAAACCTTAGACCTATATGGGATAACAAGAAATGCAACTGTTTTCTGTGGATTGGGAACCAAAATCCCTGTTAATTATGAATGCCAAGGTCGAACAACTGTTACACAGATGCTGCAATCTCCAACATTTCCAGATGTCACCGAAAATTGCCAACTGCCACTGTCAATGGAGAGTAATTGCAGAACATGTTTAAATGCCGGAATTCTATATCTTCGCAATCTAATAGGTGCAGTGGATAATATGACGTTAAGTACATGTCGGGATGCAACTTTTGTTGCACTTGCCAGCCAAGTTGATAATGTGTCCGCTGTCGACATTGCAAGCTGCTTCTTTGGGGTTCCAGGGCTTATGACTCCTCCAGGTATTACTAGATGTGGAAAATAATAGTATTATTTTTTGTCGAACAATATATAGGTTCTTGCCCTGATATTTTAAATCTCCTCTTCAAGAGATTTTTTCTTACAAGATGCTGATTTATGTGCAATTATTTATTTATTTATTGGTGTGGTGAAATTGGAGTATATTCTGAATGTGTGGAAGAGACCATCCGCAGCCTATGTAATTTTGGTTGTTTTTTTACCATGATTCCATCACCTTTGTGTTTGTGGTTGGTATAATGGTGTCGGGGAATTCAGAATTGAAATAGTGGAGATGGACAAGTTTGCACCTAGAGGGGTTGAATAATCCAAACCAAGTAAAGGATAACTAATTTTAAAGTCAAGTTTTGCTATAATATGTTATTCAATTCAATTCACAAAGTCAACCAATACATTTCAATCAAATCCAAATTCCAATAGTAACCACAAATCACTAAGTGAAAAAGAAAACTATGAGGGAAAAAAATCCCCAAGGGAAAAACCACAGGCACACCCTGTGGATTTAACAATCCACTATCTATCAAGATTTTATGAAGAACCCAACTTGAGTAATCTTTATTCATAACATCTTCCACAAACGAATTTGCTCAGCACACTCTTGTGGCTCTGAAACCTTCAAACTTCTGTTGATGAGATTGCACTATACACAGTTACAACCTTTCTCCACTCACACAACTCCAATACTCAATCGACCAGGGTAGATTGCTAGCATGTATCACATATTTGTAGGTTTTTTTAGAGAATGAAATCAATCTACAAAAATACTCAAAACAGTTTTGAAATCTTATAGTTCAATTCTCTGGAATTGATAAAGGCGGGTTCCTTATGTCTAGGGTTTTTCAATGCTTCATAAGTTTTTGTATAGAAGATGTAGTGCTGTAGTTATAGTTTTGTAGTATTCCAAAAATTATGCACTGGTTGAGTGCCTTTTTGGTGGGCTTTGAGTGGCCTTCTTTGGATTCTTAGATAGTAGAAATCTCAACATCCCGCTCAAGCACTCTTTGAGCGAGAATCAAGAACCGTCCACTCAAGTGCTCTTTGATCAATGCTCTCAGGACTTTTGCAAAACCTTCAAAGTGCTCCGTTTGAACACCCTTTGTGCTGTGTTCGAGTAGGACTCTCGGTTTCTAGTTATTGGGAATGATTTTATGTCTGAACATGGGCAACAATATTTATCTTTAAAAAACAATGCCCAATTAGTACCCATTATTGGGTGTTTGGGAGGGATTAGATTGGGTACATACCTAGCCTTTGGTATAAATGCACAAAGTGGCTATCCTCAAACTTGAACCTAGAATGTCAAGGTTAGTAGGCCGAGATTTTAACCACTAAACTAGTGATTACCCCTAATATTTCTTATGAACCAGGTTTGGTGGCCAAAATATCAATATCCTGTTAATTTTGTTGTTTGTATTTTTTCTTACCATACTGAGTTGGAGAGAATATTATGTTGGTTCAGTCTTATCTTACCTAGCTTTCCTATATTAACTCGCTGAATCATGGCTTTTTGTTTCTCTGACTTGATAATCTGTCCAAAACTGTACTGACTAATGCCATCGGTTGTATCATCTACAACTCATACGTCTCATGTTGCATTAACATCTTTTTTGGAATCATAGGCAATCACCTCTAAGCTGTGCAGTTGGCATGCTTAGTTGAGTGTCTTTATTGGCATGTGCATTAAAAAGAAAAGAAAAAGAGGAGGTACTGTGATGAATGATATCTTGAGGTCCAATCCAAAGTCTACTCTAAATTTTTGGGTGTACTATGGTGGTAGTGTTTCCTTTTGTTTTAGTAACCAAAGAGTCACCATATACTCACAATATGTACTATGTATGTTTTTATATATCTGCTTCCGCAGCCCCTATTCATATGTTATTCTATTCAGAGGTCTTGGGTAATCCAAGGATTACTGGCCGGTTACAATGCTAAATCTAAAGGGACGGGTTTGGGTGGTGACAGAGTGGTATTAGAGCACGTGTTCTACCACACACATGAGTCCATACGAGCTTAGGATGTCCTAGTAAGAAGTAGGGGCATTCCATCTGCATATGTGAATGTGTGTTCATTGAAAATGAAAACTGAATCTGACCATGACCACATGACATTGGAACAAATGATCTGAATGTTGTGGAAAGTACTATTTGCCTATGTTTATAATGCTCTGTTTATAAATGCACAAAGTGGCTATCCTCAAACTTGAACCTAGAATGTCAAGGTTAGTAGGCCGAGATTTTAACCACTAAACTAGTGATTACCCCTAATATTTCTTATGGACCAGGTTTGGTGGCCAAAATATCAATATCCTGTTAATTTTGTTGTTTGTATTTTTTCTTACCATACTGAGTTGGAGAGAATATTATGTTGGTTCAGTCTTATCTTACCTAGCTTTCCTATATTAACTCGCTGAATCATGGCTTTTTGTTTCTCTGACTTGATAATCTGTCCAAAACTGTACTGACTAATGCCATTGGTTGTATCATCTACAACTCATACGTATCATGTTGCATTAACATCTTTTTTGGAATCATAGGCAATCACCTCTAAGCTGTGCAGTTGGCATGCTTAGTTGAGTGTCTTTATTGGCATGTTCATTAAAAAGAAAAGAAAAAGAGGAGGTACTGTGATGAATGATATCTTGAGGTCCAATCCAAAGTCTACGCTAAATTTTTGGGTGTACTATGGTGGTAGTGTTTCCTTTTGTTTTAGTAACCAAAGAGTCACCATATACTCACAATTTGCATTACATTTGCTTTTAAATAGTTTTAATTTAAATGACTAACTCTTTCACAGTAGAAAAAGAGAGAAAAGAAAGAGGAGTAAAGAATAGTTGATTACCATATCTAACGAAAAATAATAATAAAAAATTTTGAAGTGCAAGATTAAATGAGAAGTTTGAACAATACTCCCAAAAGAATTGATCAAATGAAATATTAGACAAGGGCACAAACACAAACCAATTTGATGTAAATATTGCAAGGTTTGTCAATCTTCATTACAAACTAGTGACTCCACTCCTTGAGATGTTGGTTCAACGGAAAAAAGTTTCAGAGGGCCTCTCCCTGATTTGTTCAAGTCCCTTTGTATCATATTGATCTTATGATGTATATATTTTCCTCAAATAATATTGTTTTACAAAAGTATTTCTGGCAGCATTGATGAGATCAGATTTGACTACTCAAATTCACCTCACCTTTTGCTTAGAAACTACTTGTAAGTCTTTAGTGTTGGTTTATGAGACAATGCCAAGAAACAAAGAACTTCAGTAAGTTCTGACCATTCAATGTGCACCTCATTTTTTTCAACTTGACTAGTAATTTATGGAATTTTAGCTACATCGTTTCCCAAAAGCAAAAAAAAAAAGAAGAGAAAAAAATCTGCTGAGTAATACGAGCCTATGCATAAAAGATGGCCACATTTTATTTAGTTTATTTCTGATGTTTTCTCTTAACACTGGATTTTACCCATTATCTGTGCACATCACATATGATGGTTATCTTAAATGTTTGTAGATGTTATCCATTATGCTCATATCTATATGTTAAGCCATTTGATTATAGTTTAATGTTGCATTTTTTATGCTAGCTTCGGAGCCATCCCCATCTTTGCTTTCACCTGAGGCTTCTCCGAGTCCATTGGTTGCTGCTAGCCCAGGCCAGCTCTCCTTGAGTCCGCGTCTTAACGAAACACACCATCTCTTTCATCTCACGTTAATTCCATGTCTGGGTATAGCAGTTACAGCAGTTGCAGTTGTGTCGCTGGTAGTCTTGATATTTTTGATTCGTAGGAAAAGAAGAGAGCTAGAGGATTCTGAGACTATTGATAAGTCCTCTTCAAAAGGCTACACTCAACCTCCAAGAAAATTTCTGGAAGGTAGAATTCTCGTTTCTTTCTTGTTACGTGGTCTCGACTTTAGCATATAAAAGTTGTAACCTTTTTTTTTTGGGTCTTATCCTTGTGTCTGTCATTTTGATTTTCCTTCTCTTTCATTTTTTTTTTTAAATTTGAATTTGAGGGGGGGGGGGGGGGGGGGGGAATTTGAACCAAATGCAGGCCCATCGTCTATGTTTCGAAAATTCAGTTACAAGGAGACAAAGAAGGCAACAGATCACTTCAACACAATAATTGGACAAGGGGGATTTGGAACTGTTTACAAAGCTCAGTTTAGTGATGGTACCGTAGTAGCGGTGAAGCGGATGGACAAAGTTTCAGAGCAAGCTGAGGATGAATTCTGTAGAGAAATAGAGCTTCTTGCTAGGCTGCATCATCGTCATCTTGTTTCTCTTAGAGGCTTTTGCATTGAAAGACGTGAAAGGTAGTCCATCCACCTTTATATATAAAGATGTGTGCACACATATATTTGACTTCTTGTTGACAAAAATGAAAACTCTCTTTTGTTTATGGCAGGTTTCTCATGTATGAGTATATGGCTAATGGAAGCTTGAAAGACCATCTTCACAGTATGCTTCTCAATTTCTTCAGTTCACTTTTTTGTTGGCGCTTGATCTTTTAAAATGGAATATAAGTTTTTTTTTTTCTTCAAACAGAACCTTGCAATTCTATTGCATAATCCATGTATTTATTTGACAAAACATGACACATAAAACATATTGATTCCATATCAAACTTCCGTCATGACTATCTATTCTGCATGATGAATTGACGCGTTCAGATGCAATGGAAATTAAATCTTTGGAGTTGGCTTCTTTTAGTAAGTCTTAAATGTCTCTGTATTTATGTGCAGCTCCAGGTAGAACTCCTCTGAGTTGGCAGACTAGAATTCAAATTGCCATTGATGTGGCAAATGCCTTGGTAATTTGCAGAATAATGCTTACCTATGAGCCAATATACTACAGTTTCAAAATCTACTACATTCATTTGCAGTCTAATTCTCATCTTGTGACATTCACTCTGTTCTAATTTGATATCTCCACATGCAGGAGTACCTCCATTTCTATTGTGATCCTCCACTGTGCCATAGAGACATTAAGTCCAGCAATATTTTATTAGACGAGAATTTCATTGCGAAGGTAACATACCAAGTTAGATGCCCTTTAAGGCTTTAATGAGTTTTGAAATTTAAAATTCGGGTAGTCTTCAAATTTCTCTTGTATAACTAAACAACATTAACTGAGTTGATTATTATTTTATCATCTTGGAATAGCCCATCTGATATTTACTGGACATCTTAGCACATCCACATGAATGGTTTTGGAATATTTTTTTTCCCGCCCTTGATTTGTTTTACAGGTTGCTGATTTTGGCCTTTTGCATGCTTCAAAAGATGGATCAGTTTGCTTTGAACCAGTGAACACTGACATCAGGGGCACTCCAGGTAAAAAACAAAAATTGTTTTCAGAAAACACAAAAATTCTCTGTACTTGCTCTGAAGGGAGTCGAACACTGCATGACTTTCAGGTTACATGGATCCCGAGTATGTGACCACTCAAGAGCTCACCGAAAAAAGTGATGTGTATAGTTATGGTGTGCTACTATTAGAACTGGTTACTGGCAGAAGAGCAATACAAGACAACAAGAATTTGGTGGAATGGTCCCAAGTATTTTTGAATTCAGAGTCAAGTCTTGCTGAGCTTGTGGACCCCAGTATCGGTGATTTGTTCGACTTTGATCAACTTCAAACAGTAGCGACAATTGTGAGATGGTGTACCCAGAGAGAAGGAAGGGCTAGACCGTCAATTAAGCAAGTTCTTCGGCTTCTGTACGAGTGTTCAGATCCGATGCATAGTGGGTTTGTTGAAGCTGTGGAAGATGAAGAGTATGAAGGAACTGATGGGAGAGGGAGAAGGAGTAAAGGGAAAATGCATAGAGCCGAGGTGTTTTTTCACAGTGGAGATGGAAGGTGTCTCGCTTCTTCTTCAAGTACATCTAGGTCGTATTGTAGTAGAAGCTTTCTACTTGAAACTGGTTCTCCGCAATCTCCTTCAGCTATACCCTCCATTTGAGGACAACCAATCATCTGTTTAGCCACTTATAATGGATTTTGGACTTTCTTGGGTGGAGCACTTTGACGAAGCTGTGGTTGAATTGTAAAGCACAGGATCATATTTGATTCAGGTATGCATGGCTCTCTACCTCATTGAGTAATTGAAACTTTCCTTCAATCGAGCAGTTTAATGCATTTGTCATGATTATTACAAGACATGTTAATTGGAAAAAGAGGGGAGAGAAGAAAAACTGCGAGAGTAGGGATGTTATTTGTTTTCTATTTACATTGTGCTAAAATTTTGTGGGGGGAAGAGGTATAAAATATGTATCATGGCTTGTATTGTTAAAGATGCTAAAAGAAAATTGTCAGAGTATTGAACTCTTTGAGGCTGGAATGAATTGCAATTTTGTAAAACTATGTTGTTTGTCATATTTCAATTGACTTTATTAGGACTAACGATTATGCTCATAGGATAACGCAATTCTGTAACTTACTGTATGTCTTGGCACCGAGGACTAGATTTGTACTGTTATCCCACCCTATTCTTCAACTACTTACCTACAAAACGAGGAGAAAATTAAGGTAATCAATACATAAATTTGGAGTGACTATATCTTGCTTTATCATAGAATCTAAAATGAGATGATTCCATTTTTTAGAGATTACTTTTCATGCTGACTAGATTTTGTTCTGATATATAACTCCATTTAGAGAGTAGATTTTGTCCCTCATAGGTTGTTTCTTTCCAAGTAAGTCTTATTCATTTTCATTGCTGAAAACAAACCACCAATCAGTTTGTTGCCATTGTTTTGTATCTCTACCATCTCTACAACTTCATACATGCATGCATACATATATACATTCATAAATATGCACATACATATTTATCAGAATGTATACATATTGATCCAGTACAAGATCAGATTGTATGAAGATTTATCCATGATAGAAATTTTAGGGTTTCTGTTGTGTATTATTTAAGATCAGAAGCAATTGTAAATTGGATACCATTTTATTTATTATTGTGGATTTGAAAGATTGCTATTTGGGAAATGTTAGATTGGATTTTAGCTAGCGCACCGTGCCCAAAGGAGTTGGGTTTGGAGTGTTACAAAAACTCCATTTGTGTCGTGCTTAGCTTTTCGTTTTTCGAGCAACCAATCTCGAACTCGAATAAAAAAAAAAAAACCTTTAATCCATTTAAAATGCTATATTCTTAATCAAGCATACAAATGAGAATGAATTAACACTTGAAAGTTAATTCCTTTATTATTATTTCAATTATAATTAAGAGCTCATATAAAAGTTGGTTTTTAGTTATGAAGCCAACCATTGTTTTACAACTACTCTAATTATACTAGAGCATTCTACAACATGAACATTTGCTGTCTTTATGCTCATCTGAATCTCTTGTGATACATTTTTCAGAATGTCATCCAAAAGCTTTGAACATTTTGAAACCCCCAACACGAGCTTTATTAATCGCATTTGCAGCAACTTTACGATCATTTCTATCTATGGCCTGAGTAGCTTTTGGAAATAGATTGTTCACAATTGGGATGTAAAGCTTCTTGCACTTACAATATATTTTCGCCTTTCGATTTAACTGGATTGGATTCAATAATCTCATTGGCGAGGTTTAGTAGAATAGTTGCCTTAGCATTTGTAGCTTCAGCAGCAATAATGATGCTTAGAACTTGGATATTTGCATTTTTGGTTCAAAAATCTTACTCGAAAACTGAGTGACAATGGCTGTAATATGGAATCATCTTCCTACATATTTTGTCTATTAAATCATTTTGAGCTAAAGTTTGAAAGATGCTGAGAAGAAAGATGAAAGAGAGAGAGTTATATAGATCTTAATCTTGCAAATGGCTCAACTGAGATTTATATAAAACTCAGTTACTGTCTCAATATGCACTTAATTTTAGATAAAGTTAGTTTTAATTTCTATATGCAAAATGCAACTATTGTTGTCCTCCCATTTATGCTTATCACCACTTAATACTTATTTGCAGATTTTGTTTTTATGAAAGCAAATCCGTTCAGATATTGTTTGGTACAATAAAGGAATATGTATAAATAATATTGTTTAGCATCAAATCCGAACTTTTTAATTTTGTTAGTTGAAAAATTGAAACCAATCATATATACTAGTTTGAAATATTTATTTGGTACGACAAAAATTGAAAGTAAATAGAAAGTGATTTTAGAAACAAACATATTTGGACCAAAAATATCTTTCATTTTCGAAATCTAAAAAATAGTTTTAACATTAAAATCTTACTAATACCAGAATATTAGAATATGAAGGTGGTTCTATCCTTGTCTTCAAATCAACAACAACAACAACAACAAATCTGTGATGGGAATATTATTATTTTGATTCTAATATTGAGGACATGGACTAAATGTCAGAGTATTGAAACAGGGAACAGACATTACTAGCCGTATATGTATGCCCTTGACTTTATCAATCATCTCTAGCTCATGTCCCTACAATGCAGGGCCGGCCTGACATTTTGGAGGCACAAGAAGAATAATTGATCTTTATAGAATGATTATTTTTCCATAATGGTAAATGATAATTTCATTTATAATTTTTATTTAGGTAAATTATAAATACATTTGCTTAAAATACATATTGCTTTCTATGATTTGAAAAATTATAAATACTCTCTTATCAAAAAATTTTATTCAAGAGAATTAACTAAAAAAATAAAATTCATGATTACTCTCTTATATAATAATAAAATTAGCTAAATTATTAATTAAAATATGTTTCTAACATTATTAAAAACTGTTAATTGACTTGATAATTTATTAATAAAATGGACGATTTGTTATGAAATTAGAAATCTCAGGAGATAGAATGTAATTTTTAAAATCACAGTTGCGATTCGTATTTTAATTAAAATTCAGGGGTGTATTTGTAATTTATCCTTTTTGTTTTTATTTTTAATAAATCAAACGTGAGAATGAAAATTATGATAAAGTGATTATTTCATTCAATTTCAATTCAATAAATTAAACATAACACAACTTAAGATCAAAATTATTGGGTGCCTATTTTTTAAACATAATTTGGGGCCTGAGGTCACGGACTCACCAGCCTTGTCCAAGGGCCGGCTCTGCCTATATATGAGATCATTTGATCTTTCATCTCATAGTTAATCAAGCATTAGTGTCCATAACAATGGAACATGGAAAGCCTTCCTACCTCTTCTATTCTTTCATTTTTCTTATCATATCTTCCATATCATCCTCCTTGTCCGATGACCATCAAAGCTACATCATCCACATGGACAGGTCAGCTATGCCAGCTCCCTTCTCCACACCCCACAGCTGGTACACATCGATACTGTCATCCCTCTCTTCCACAGACAATGTTCCCCCGACGCATCTCTACACTTATAATCATGTGATAGACGGGTTCAGTGCAGTTCTGTCACAATCCCAGCTCGAACAGCTGCAGAAAATGCCAGATCATTTTGCAACGTACGCAGAGACATTTGGCCATCTCCACACAACCCATTCCCCAAAGTTTCTTGGCTTGCAAGACGATGTCGGATTATGGCCCGTGGCGGGGTTTGGGGATGACATGATAATTGGTATCATCGACTCCGGGATATGGCCTGAAAGTGAGAGTTTCAACGACGATGACATGCCTCCGGTGCCAGCACGTTGGCGCGGTGCCTGTGAAACTGGAACTGAGTTTAATTCTTCTCATTGTAACAGGAAACTTATCGGTGCACGGTCTTTTAGTAAAGCAATGAAGCAAGCTGGATTCAACATATCAACAACTGAAGACTACGACTCTCCAAGGGATTTTTTCGGTCACGGGACTCACACATCATCCACTGCTGCTGGCAGCCCAGTGCCGTGTGCTAGTTACTTCGGTTATGCCAAGGGAAAAGCCATTGGCATGGCACCGAAGGCTCGATTGGCGATGTATAAAGTGTTCTTCTTCAATGAACCCGACCTTACAACCTCGAGTGACATACTGGCTGGCATGGACCAGGCCATAGCTGATGGCGTGGATCTAATGTCTTTGTCATTAGGCTTCCCTGAGGCTCCATTCTACAAAAACCCAATTGCAATCGGAGCTTTTGCAGCAATGGAAAAAGGGATTTTCGTGTCGTGTTCAGCTGGAAATAGCGGCCATGATAAGCTGTTTAATGAAGCTCCTTGGATCACCAATGTCGGTGCAGGAGCTATTGATCGAGATTTTTTGGCTCATATCACACATGGCAATGGGGCCTTATCAGTTACCGGAAGGTCTACTTACCTTGAAAACCTATTAGTCTCCAAAGTCCCTTTATACTTTGGACATGGAAATAAAAGCAAAGAAATTTGTCAGTTTGGTGCCTTAGACCCTAAAGATGTTGCAGGAAAGTATATCTTTTGCGATTTTGACAACGAAACATCAATGAATCCGCAGATTCTGCAGTGGAAAGAATTGAACAGATCAGGAGCTGCTGGAGCTATCGTAAGTTCAAACTCTGTCGAGATTTTTTCTTCCGGTACTCCATTTGTGGTTGTGAGCCTTAAAGATGGAGAATTAATGAAGGATTATATAGTTGGATTTGAAAACCCAACTGTGAGTATCAAATTCCAGATAACATTACTAGGTGTCAAGCCGGCTCCTCAAGTTACGAGCTTTTCGTCAAGAGGGCCGGGTTCAGAGGCTCCATGGGTACTTAGACCTGATATACTGGCACCTGGATACAAGATTTTGGCTGGATGGGTACCCAACAGGTTGAGTGCGTATATTCACGGCAGTTCATTACTCTCAGACTGTGTAATTGTGTCAGGCACTTCCATGGCGTCTCCCCACATAGTTGGCATAGCTGCACTGTTGAAAGCAGCTCACCGGGATTGGAGCTCAGCTGCTATTCGATCTTCTATGATGACTACTGCAGATGTGTTTGATAATTTGAATGGCACAATCATTGACATAGCCACAGGAGCTGCAGGGACTCCTCTTGATTTTGGGGCAGGACATGTGAACCCTAACAAGGCCATGGACCCTGGACTTGTGTATGACATGGAGGTCCAAGACTACATCGATTTCCTCTGTGGAATGAACTATACAGCGCAACAGATTCAGATTATAACAAGGAGGTCAGATTTCGACTGTGAAAATGCTAGTTTGGATCTTAACTATCCTTCATTTATCGTCATCTTGAACACCACTGATATTACAAGTTACACCTTTGAGAGGGTGCTGACTAATATGGTCGATTCACATTCGGTGTATCTAGCAGAGGTGACGGCTCCAATGGGTACGAAAATTATTGTGCAGCCGTCAACAATCTCCTTCACGGGGAAATACAGTAAGGCTGAGTTCAACTTGACTGTTGAAATTGATTTGGGAGTTAGGTCATGGAATGAGTACAATGGGACTTATGGGTACTTAGGCTGGTATGAGGTTAATGGGACTCATGTGGTAAGAAGTCCAATAGTCTCTGCATTTGCACCATAGGCAAGGTTTGCCAATGGTGAAAATAAGTGTGCTTCAAGTACTACATTGTTTGTGTTGACGGCAGCCTAAAAGGGCACATCCCAAGCATACAAACAGAGAATGGCTAGAAACTAAAGGCCAAGTGCATTTTATATTTCACCTTTTGTTTTTTTGGGTGCAAAAAAGGATAAGAGGGCCGATCAAAGCATAGCAACTCTGCTTCAATGTAACCATAACACTTGTTATTTGATAGGGAGCGGAACAAGAAGGGTCTAGAAGGACATATGTCTGGTCCACATTGCCACGTAGGACAAATGTCTCATCCCAATTCAAAGGAAAACCCCCCTTCCTTGTTATGTAAATTATTGTTATTAATGGCTTTTGTCACACAATAGTCTCAATTGGTATTTTATTTAATTTGTTCTTCTCTTGAGATTTGAAAATAATACAATTAATTTTATAGTTTTGACATAATCATACTAATCTCCCTTCTAGTAAAGGTTAAAGTGATGCAGATAACAGGTAGACACTAAAATAAATAAAAATATATACATATTTTAGTAAAAAAGAGTAATACAATTAATTTTATAGTTTTGACATAATTATACTAATCTCCCTTCTAGTAAAGGTTAAAGTGATGCAGATAACAGGTAGACACTGAAATAAATAAAAATATATACATATTTTAGTAGAAAAGAGAAGACAATAATTTTCTTTATTTATACAACTAACGAATTGTTGATAAAAAATGACCTAACTGCAAATTAAAAACTTCAAGGGAGATTAGTATAATTATATCAAAAGTGTGAGGCTAATGGATTATATATGCTCACTTAAACTACTTTTAAAATTGTTATGAATATGAATCTTTATTTGATCAATCTTGTTGCAATAGTCTCTGAGGCTAATTTGGTGGGCAATCCCAAGGAATGGTGGGTGGTTACTGAAGCAACCCGCCATATCTGTGCAAATAAGAAGATGTTCACAACCTACAAAGTGGTGGAAAGTGGAGAACAACTTTTTATGGGAAACTCCTCTACATCAACTGTGGAAGGACAAGGAAAGATTATGTTGAAAATGACCTCGTGTAACAACCCCGACCTGTGATTAACTGTTAAACCATGATTAAGGATGCCTAATAAATAATTAAGAAGAAATTTTGAATTAATTGCATGTGTGTTGCATTAATTGTGTTTATATTTGTTTGTCGTAGAAATATCTGCTTGTATTTCTGTTCTGTTCTGCAAATTGAAGGCCTTATCGACATCTGATTATGAAATTGACTTGATATATGTGTTATTTTGGATTCTTAGAAAATTATGGTAGATTTAATTGAAATTCGATTCGGAACGAAATAATTAAAATAAATAATGCTCAATTGATTAGTGGTAAGCCTAATTAATTAAATTTCCTAATCAAGCCTATCTAAGGCTTATGCACCACTTTGAGTCATCTCCTCTTCATCATTTTGAGCCTACAAACGTGAGAGAGAGGGAAAAACATAAAAGAGGGTTGAGATCAAAGAAACATAGGAGAATTGGAGAGACTTTGAGGGAATTGAAGAAGACTTAAGAGAATTAAGCTTCCACACGTGTGAACTCAAGCTTAAGGTAAGAATTCAACCCATAAATTAAGTGTTTGAATCAATAAGAGGATGAATTCAAGAGAACTGAAAGATTAAATATAAGAATTAAGCTTAGATGATAGAATTGAGCATGATTCATACATGCATGCATTTTCAGCACATTTTGAGTTTAAATTTCAAACAAATCTCATATGCATGTGTCTATCTTGGCTTAGTTTTAAGAATTTATCAAGTTTCTCATTATCTTACCCCATTCATGTTTTGGAAGGTTTGAGTTCATGACAAGTCATGCATGTTATGTTTTGGAAGTTTCAAGTTGAATTTTGAATAATTGGCATCTTTTTCGGCTTTGATTTTGCGAAATGATTTTGAATTCACCATGTCTTACAAGTTTACACATGTTTTCTTAAGTTTTTGCCCAAAAGAACCTGTTTTGAAACTTTGAATTTGAGTTTTAGACTTGTGAGTACAATCTGGAAATTCTAGAATTCTGTCTCACCGCTTGAGCGACCACACTTGGTTTTGTATTTTCGCTCGAGTGACCAAAAGTTGGCTCGAGCGTAAAATTCATGCTCCTAGAAGTTTTGTAAACCGCTCGAGCGACAAGAGTTGCGCTCGAGCGAGGACCGTATTTATTCAATCTTCCATTTGAGCAATCGTCGAGCGACCATTGAGAGGAAAATTTATGCGACCAGTACTTTTGTAGACCTAAGGGCTCGCTCGAGCGTAGGAAGTAACGCTTGAGTGTAGGAAGTAATGCTTGAGCGAGGTGTTCTATTTTTAAATTTTTGACTAAGTGTTCAAAGGCATATTTTGGCATTCTTATTGTATTCTAGGCATTCATAGGCCATGATTAAGACATAGTAATGAGGATAAGGATTAGAAACACACCAAGATAAGAAAGAACTAAGTTAAAGAAATTTCGGGTGTGTGTTTCAATATGTATCTGTTCTGTGTTTGTGTAGGTCACGTGCCATATATTGCCTGATCCGTCTACTATATTTGTTTTCCTATTGGAGCCATCTGTGAGTAATAACTTTGTAAAGCTATGTTTACGTTTAAGTATTTTCCTATATGATATGACAATAAATGATTTGTTTTCTGAAATGTTATGTTCTGTATCAATGAATGATTGTCGATATATTGAAAAGAAATCGTGGCATCCTTAGCACATGGCTCTTGCCCGGGGGTGACAATACCGTGGTCTATGAGCACAAGTCCCTTGCCTACGGGTAATAATATCGTGGTATCATGGCCCTCGCTTGGGTGTAACAATACCGTGGCTTAAGTATGTTATTTGTTCCTGGTACCGGAGGTTCTTTTATGGAACTGGTCAAGTATGACCCTTAATGCTCTGTATTTGATCTGTTAGTGCTAATGGGTGTACCACGTATGATCATCTATGAAATTGAATAAGTATATGCTTCTGAACTCTAAATAAGAATATGAATCTGTTTCTGATTCAAATTTTGCTTTTCGAATCTGCTATGGGACATCATTCATTAAACCATTTACTCTGTTATTATTCACTGGGCTCCAGCTCACTGTATCATTTATGTATGTAGATGAGCAGACACGTGACCAAGCCTAAGCTGCTGCTTGGAGAGTTTTGGGTCTGCCAGCCACTGTGACTCCCGAGGAGGTTTCCTTTTGAGAAGCGATCAAATTTTGTGAACCATGTCAAAGATCCCTTCCTTTTTTTTTTTTTTGGTTAAGTTTGTACATGTCTTTCGTTTTGTCTATATGTACTTGGATAGTGACGTGGTCTGACGCTTTAATTATGTAATTAAAGCTTTACATTTTCTATCCTATGTACGTCAGCACAGCTCTATGGGCATTATATTTTATATATTTGCTTCCGCTAGCCCCTTATATTATGTTATTCTGTTCAGAGGCCTTCGTACTCACTCTTAACAATGTACTCCATGTGCTAGAAATTCGCAAGAATTTGATTTCTGTGTCATTGTTAATCAGGAATGGGTTTAGATTAGTCTTTGAATCTAACAAGGTTATATTCTCCAAGAGTGGAATGTATGTGGGGTGAGGTTACATGAGTGATGGGCTTTTAAGCTCAATGTTTTAACTGTTGTACCAAATTTGGCTGTTAATAATAAGAACATATCTTCTGTTTATATTGCTGAGTCTTCTTTTTTATGACATGGTAGATTAGGACATGTTAATTTTAATTCTTTGTGTAGACTTGTTTCTTTAGAATGTTTGCCAAACTTAGAGTTTGATCCTAATTATAAATGTGAGATTTGTGTTGAGGCAAAACTTATTAAGGCATCATTTAATAACATAGAAAAAAGTACTGAACCTCTAAGTTTAATTCACACAGATATCTGTGATTTAAAATTTGTTCAGACTAGAGGAGGTAACAAGTACTTTATTACTTTTATTGATGATTGCACCCAATATTGTTATGTTTACTTATTGAGAAGTAAAGATGAAGCCTTAGAAGTTTTTAAACAATATAAACTTGAGGTTAAAAATCAACTTGGCAAAACTATTATGGTAGTGAGGAGTGACAAAAGTGGTGTGCATGATGCACCATTTGAGGAATTTTGTTCTGAACATGGTGTTATTCACCAAATCACTGCACCCTATTCTCCTCAGTCAAATGGAGTTGCTGAGAGAAAAAATCAAACTCTTAAAGAGATGATGAATGCCATGTTGATTAGTTTAGGATTACTTTAGAACATGTGGGGGGAGGCGATTTTGTTTGCTAACTTTATCCTTAACAGGGTACCCCACAAGAAAATCAATCAAACACCTTATGAAGTATGGAAAGGTCGACGACCTACCTACAATTACCTCAAAGTGTGGAGGTGTTTGGCCAAAGTGGTAGTCCCTAGTCCTAAAACAACTAAGATAGGACCAAAAACCATTGATTGTGTCTTCATTGGTTATGCAAATAATAATAGCGTATGCAGATTTTTAGTTTATAGATCTGAAAAACTTGATATGCATGTAAACACTATTTTTGAGTCAAGGAATACATCATTTTTTGAACACATTTTTCCTTGCAAGGAAACTGAAGAGACAAGTTCAAATAAAAGAACTTTTGATACTACTATAGGTAGTAGTGAAGACCAAAATGATAATGAAGCAGATGAACCTGAACATAACAAGAGGGCTAGGCTCTCTAAATCATTTGGTCTAGATTTTCTGACATACATGTTAGAAAATAAGCCTCAAAACTTCAAGGAAACAGTGTCAAGTCCTGAAGCTCCATTGTGGAAAGAGGCTGTGAATAGTGAAATTGAATCTATTTTACAAAATCATACTTAGGAACTGGTAGATCTTCTAACAGGATGTAAACCTGTTGGACATAAGTGGATATTCAAGAGAAAAATGAAAGCAGATGGTTCAATAGATAAATACAAGGTTAGGCTTGTTGTTAAGGGATATATGCAGAATAAAGGCCTTGATTATTTTAATACCTATTCACCAGTGACAAGAATAACATCTATTCGTATTGCAGAATTGTATAATCTGGAGACACATCAAATAGATGTTAAAACAATCTTTTTAAATGGTGAGTTGGATGAAGAAATCTATATGGAACAACTGGAAGGGTTTCAAATTCCTGGCCAAGAGAAAAAAGTTTGTAAACTTGTCAAATCCCTTTATGGATTAAAACAAGCTCCGAAACAATGGCATGAAAAGTTTGATCACGTTATGCTTTCGGATGGTTTTAAGATAAATGAATGTAACAAATGCATCTATGTTAGAAGCACAGACAAAGGCTATGTCATAGTTTGTTTTTATGTGGATGACATGCTCATTATTGGAAACAATAATGACAT